CAAGTAGAGGAATTGCTGGATCATAAGGTATTTCTATTTCCAACCTTCTGAGGAAGCGCCATATTGCTTTCCAGAGAGGTTGGACCATTTTGCAATCCCACCAGCAATGCAGGAATGTCCCAGTCTCTCCACATACTCACCAGCATATATTCCCCTCTACTTTTTTGATTTTTGCTGTTATTGCTGGTGTGAGATGATATCTCATTGTTGCTTTGATTTGCATCTCTCTAATGGCAGAGCTCCTTGGAAACCCTATACAGGGTTGCTATGGGTCAGAACCGACTCGACGGCACTCAACAACAACAACAACAACAATGGCAAAGCTGTAATCTTTATGGAAGTCAATTGCTGTACCTTTCTCCCTTGGAGCAGCTGGTGGGTTCAAACTGTCAACCTTTAGGTGGGCAAACACTTTAACCACCAGAGACACTTACTTGAAGAGCAAGCCTTCTCGAGTTCTTTGATTCGTGCTCGGAGTTCAGACAAGGCCTTTCTCTGACGCTGAATGACTTCTTCATGTCGGGATCCTTTGCATTTGGCTCCCAGATCACTGAAGGATTGTTCCTGTGGTTGGAATGATCCAGATACCAGTTTTATTAGACAATAGACTTTATTGCTCTTATATTCAAAGAAGCAGGCACGATTTATATAGAGAAACTTTGTCATTTAGAACCTTTGAAAAGATCCTAAGAGGGTTGAGCAGGGAAGGAATTTTAAATTTCCTCTCCAATAAAAAGTTTAATCTAGGAAGATTTCCAACTTTGCTACCTACTTACGGTCACTGTAAATAACAGATCCCTGCTAAGTTCCCATTTCATGTTTCACTCATTTCTGTCTTCTGAAATTCTTGTGAGTCCATGTTGCCTTTGTTGTCATTCTGGTCTCATCTCTAAACAATCCTATCAAATTCTACATATGACATTTTCTTCTAAATGGTAACAAGGATGATTGCCTAATATTTTCTAGGGACATTTGATAGGCTGGCTCTTGGTTGGTCTAGAGAAAGGAAAACCACTGAGTTCTGGAGGTTTTAGAATGACTGTGTCCATCAGATGGAACTGCTCAGATCTGTGCTGTCCAATATGGCAGCCACCTGCCACATGTGCCTATTGGGCATATGAAATGTGGCTAGAGCAAACGAGGAATGGAATTTTTAGTCTTATTTCATTTTAATTAATTTAAATAGTCACATGTGTCTTATGGCTACCATACTGGGCAACTTGGGTTTATGAAGGACACAAAAGACAAGGGAAGGGCCTCTTCTTTTTTTAAGGGTCATGTAACACACTGATAAATCAAAAACAGCTGCAACTGTACACTGACGGTAAACTGCCAGAGGTTCAAACCGGATTCAGATGAGGATGTGGAATGAAAGCTATCATTGCTGACACCAGATGGATCTTGGCTGAAAGCAGAGAATACCAGAAAGATGTTGACCTGTGCTTTATTGGCTACACAAAGGTTTTCGACCATGAATCATGACAAGCTATGGACAACACTGCAAAGAATAAGTATTCCAGAACACTTAATTGTGTTCATGAGAACCTGTATACAGACCAAGAGACAGTTGTTCGAAAAGAACAAGGAAACACAGAATGGTTTAAACTAGGGAGGGTGTGCACCAGGGTTGTATTCTTTCACCATACTGAACAGATAATCAGAGAAGCTGGGTTATATGAAGAAAAATGTGACATCAGGACTGGAGGAAGGTTCATTAACCTTGTGATATGCAGATGATACAACCTTGCTTGCTGAAAGTGAAGAGGACTTAAAACATTTACTGATAAAGATCAAAGAGCACAACCTTCGGTATGGATTACATCTCAATGTAAAGAAAACAAAATTCTTCACCACTGGACTAATAAACAACATCAAGATAAATGGAGAAAAGATCGATGTTATCAAAGACTTCATTTTGCTCAGATCAACCACCAACACTCATGAAATCAAATGATGTACTGCATTAGGTAAATCTGCTGCACAAGACCTGTTTTAAGTGTTCAAGGGCAAAGATGTTTGTTTGAGAACCAAAGTGCCTCGGATCCAAGCCATGATATTTTCAATAGCCTCACATGAATTTGAAAGTTGGATGGTGAATAAGGAAGACCATAGAAGAATTGATGCATTTGAGTTATGGTGTTGGAGGAAAAGATTAAAAGTACCATGGACTGCCAAAAGAACAAACAGGAGGGACCAGTTGGTGCAGAAGGACCTCATGTCTGGTAAAGTGGAGGGTCAACGAAAAAGAGGAAGACCTTCAACGAGTTGGATTGGCACAGTGGCAGGACCAATGGTCTCAAGTATACCGACAATTGTGAAGTTAGCACAGGACTGGGCAGTGTTTCATTCTGTTGTGCTTAGGGGTTGCTATGAGTCAGTGCTGACTTGATGTTGCACCTAACAACAACAACAACAAAAGCACCACATTGAGATTTGGAAGAATGAAGGGAGCTTTCCTCCAGAAAAAAATCACAGACGCACACACAATTATGTACAA